GGAGCCCATGACACAGCCGCTCTTGACCTGCGTTCTGCGCTGTTCCTGGGACCGTTTTCCAGCTGTTTCCTTAGGATATGAGCACGCCTGTGTGGGCGGGACAACCCTCGGGTGTGACATGACCTTTACAGAATTGCTGAAGTGAAACTCTCTTCACGAAGTGCTCGCCCCTTCAGAGGACGCGATGCCCCAGGGCTGGGCATGGCCTGTCCCAAGGCATCTTCCATCCTCGCCCCCCTCCCACCACCCCAAAGGGGTCCCGGTCCCCAGGGGACATTGCTCCCCATTTCCTCCCTGCACCAGACCCTCCCTCTGCAACGGGGACTCTGGTTTTGGACGCTGCACCATTCAGATAAAGGATCATCACACCATGTTTGTCCGTGGGTGTCTGGGGGTCTCTCACGAAGCATTGCTGTGGTCGTGGTCCATTCACGAGGCAGCCTGAGTCACAGCCTCGCTCCTTTATTGCTTTTATTGATTTTTACACTAAGAGGGAGATAGAGAGACACAGACACAGACAGAAAAATCGATGTGTGCCAGACAAACGTCTCTCCCATATGCCCCGGACTAAACATCAAACCTGCAGCCTAGATTTCAACTGTATTTTAGGCTGGCTACATTTGAGATTCAACAGCTGCCAGGAAAAGAAAAAAAAGAAAGAAAAAGAGACTCGATAGCTTCAAAAAAAAAAAAAGCATTTTTGCAGCTTTTCTTATCTGTCCCAAAGCAGCAAGTTCTGGGAAATAGATCTGCTATAAATTCTGCTTTAAGTGGGGGGGCCTCCTCCCAGAACTGCAAAAGCTCGAGGCCCTGGAGGGGACGCGAACATCACTGGTGATCATCGCACCTTCTTATCGTCTTCATGTCCCGGACGCTCACTTATCTTTCCAAACAGACCCGGGTTTCTCCTTCCTCACCTCCGCGGAGCCTCCTGGGTTGGCTCTGCCAGCCCCAGATTCTGACCACGCCTTTCCGCTGCTCGCCACCAAGTTTTTCCCGGGGGTGCTAGGCTGTATGTGCGTGGGAACTCAGTTTTTCTCATTACCACTGAGCTCGCCTCTGTCCCTTGAATTTGTGTGCCCGGGCACCGGACCTAAGAGGGTGGGGGAGAAGCTTTTATAGTTCTGTTTGTCCAGTTTGGTCTTCCTTTCCTGGGACCTGTCCGTCTGCCTCTCTGCTTGTCTGTTGTCCTGACACCTGCAGCCCCCAGTGCTCCGGGGGGTCTTCTCGTCCCCACCTGCATTTGTCTATTTACTCGCGTTCTGTTCTGCCTCCTGCACCTGGTTTTTGGACGGTGGCCATCTTCTTGGAGCTGAAGGCATCTCAACCAGGCAGACAGGAGGCTGCTCAGGAGTCTGGGGCGCAGGGGAGAAGGGCACATGCTGACCCTGGGAAGCAGGGAAGGGTTTGCCATTTTCATCGATCCGTTGAATGGGGTCATTCGAAGGCAGAACCTGTCACTCCTTCTGACAGGTTTTGGGACCACACCCTTTCTGTTTGTCAGACGCAGGCAAACAGCGTGCTCCGGGCTGGTCTACCTACCGTGCAGGGGAACACGGCCCCGGTGGGTGAATGAGTCATCAGGCTACCTGTGCATGTACTCAGACGTTTGCATCCCTAGCATCTGCCTTGTAATTCCCCTGATGAGACTGTCTCCCCACCCGAGAGCACACTTGTTCTCTGTCCCAGTTTGTCCTGACTCTGAAAGGTCTACCTTTCACATTTCCGCCCAGGACGCTGGCCCCCCGACTCAACTCCTCCGTGGTCCCTCCGTGAGAAGCAAGGCTGGGATGAGCATGGGGAGACAGAGGGAAGGAAGAGAACCACCTGGAGGATTCGACTCTGATTTCTAGGACTTGCTTGTTCCTTTAAGGCACCTCACTCAGCCGAGGCGCCAGTCCCGAGGCCGAGAAGACCTTGGTGAGGCTCAGGAGAGCGTGTGGTCCGGTTCCTGACGTCCACACAGCCCACGCTCCACGCCGGTGCCTGTGCCGGCTTTTGCGTACTTCCAGGTGGATGAGGCACCGTTCTCCCGGGCAAGTCCGTCTACGGTCACTCACTCATCCCCAGAGCCGGCGGTCTGTGCACCCTGAAAATTCCACGTCCGACTCTGCACCTCTGCACACCTTCACGTCTCGACCAAAACCCGTGAAATGGGGAAGTAAATGCTTTGCGCAGTGGTCCATGCGGTGGAAATGCGACCGGGCTGTGTTCCTGGCCTTGAGGGGTCCCCTGTGCTGGGCGCAGAATCGGTTCTGCCCTCTCACAGATTCTGCTGCGGGGGTCGGGTCCGACCGGCCTGGCTCCTGACACCCCACCGTCCCCAAGCCTCTGCACGGTGGCAGGTTCAGAAGCAGGAGCGGCCAGAGCCGAGACGAGGGACAATGTCACCAGGCTGACGGCCTCGACGCTGCCGGAGGAGCATGGCACGTACGGGGCGGAGGCCTGGCCACTCCGAAGGGCGTCATCGTGGGGAGCACCTCGCGTGTGCAGTGAATTCGGGAATCAGGGGGCATTTCTGGAAAGAACTCACAGCTTCTTACAAAGAGACTGGTGTTGTAGAGACAGAAAAATGGGGCAAATTCAGGCGTTCACCCCAGGGACTGGACAGTACCTGACTCACTAAGGGGTCACCCCAATAAATCTCTTACCCGCCTGACACCCTCTGTGCTTATCACAATATTATTGATGATATTCCCTGTGGTGGGCTTACAGCCCGTGAGTTTCCTCTGTCCGTCTGTGTCCCTCAGTCCTGCGCCTTTTCCCCGCAGTCCCCCAACCCCCTGCCCTCCGACAGCCGTCTGTCTACTCCCTGTATCCGTGCGTCTGTGCCTGTTCTGCTTTCTGCCTTATTTTGTCTTTCAGATTCAATGGTTGCTAGACATGAAGTTACTGCCAGTGAATGATCCATATCTCATATCTTTTTCCCCTTCTTTTCCTTGAAGAAGACCCTTTCCCATACAAGTGGGTGTCCCCTATAATGAAACATGCAAACAGTGATTTAAATTTTAAGAAATGGATGAGGCGGGAGGGTTGGCGGCCCCTCCCGAGGACAGCTGAGGCTGACGCTCTCTCTTCCGGAGCTCGGGCTGGGTCCAGGGTGTGGGCGGGGGCGGGGGCGGAAGCCCCGGGAGTGGGAGGGAGTCATGCACATCATCCCACGAAATCATTTCCCCTTGACAAAGGCGCCAGTCAGGCTGTCGGATCAGGTGGACCTTCAGCCCGGCGGCCAGGTGCGTGAATGAAGCGTGTAGAACCTTCCTGCCCACTCAGGTCTCCAGCCGTGGCCAGCAGCAAATCTGTCCCCCCTCAGCATCCCCGAGAGATGAGGAGAGACAGCCACGAAGGTCTGGGGACACCGGAACCCGTGCACCCATCAGCCACGTCACAGCTCCCTGCAGGGGTGCGTCACCCGTGACTCGCCGGAGAACTCCGAGCGGCGGTGACTCTGCCCGTGCCTCGCAGTCTCTGTGACCCTCGTGACGTGACTCACAGGCCGTGTTGCGAAAGGGCAGCCACCTAACATGGGCTTGCAGTTCCCCGGGGCGGTGATGAAGGGCACCGGACAGCACAGGGGCTTTGTGTCATGCCCGTGAGGCACGCCCGTGAGGCACGCCGGTGGCCCCTGACCGTCACCCAGCCTGCCTTGCCATGGTGAAGCCCGGGGCAGGAAGGACTTGGTGCCCATATTTGAGCTTCGTTTCCCCAATTTTGTCCCCGCGGCTGAGGGCCGTGGGAGAGGGAGAGGAGTGAAGAACAGAAATGGCTGTTCTCCCGGGCCATCATGTTTCCGCTGCATTTCGGGGTCACAGCAGTGAAATGTGGGGTTTGTTCTGCTACAGTTCGCACAGACGTGGGGTTCGGAAGGGCTGTGTCACCCAAAGGCCACTCCTGAGCCCCCACAGAGGCCGGGCATTTGCTGGGTGCACGGGTGAGGAAGAAGGGGTATCGCTCCCGCTCCCAGCCAGGGTTTCTGCAAGTCCAGGGACACTTTGGTTGCTCCCGGTGCCTGGTGGGTGGGGACCAGGGACACATCTGAACACCCACCAGCACCCAGGATGCCCCAGGGCACAGGGTCACCAGCCCCAGACAGGCATAGTACAAAGGTAGAGTCCCCGGCCTTCCCACCAGGGGTCTGTGCCTCTCCCACTCCCACCCATGACTCCCTAAGTCTCTACGCACTTTGCTTATCATCCATCGAGAGAGCCTGCCCACATCCTGCAGCCTTCGTGGGGACAGAATCACGTCCCCAAAGACGTGTGGGTCCCTAACCCTTGGGACCCATGGAAACGTGACGTTGAGTGACCAGATGGCGTTTCCCGGTGTGACCAGAGATGCCGAGATGGGCAGGCTGCGTTGGACCATCCCTGTGGACTCAGGGACTCACGTTTATCGGGGTGGCCAGTGTGGGGACACAGAGGGGAACTGATGGGATTTATTATTATCATTAATTATCATCAATTACTCCTCCTCCCTCTTTGTCAGATGCTGGCAGGACACGTGTGTGAGCAGGCTTCGTGACTTCGACCCGGGGTCACAGGCACGGTTATTAGTGATGTTGCTGTTTTTGGGCTCTGGGCGGCCACTGAGCCCCTGGGCTGGCCGTGGACACACCTGTCCTCTGCGCTTGGACCCTCTCTCACCCCGGCTATTAAGGTCCCAGGGAGGGATTCTGCATTTGGAATCCCAGTGGCCCCAGCCGGAGTTTCTCTGGACCGTCCTGTTGCTTTTGGTTGGAGACAGATGAGGGTGCGACCTGCTGATGCTCAGCCCACCTTCACCGTCCTGGACACTTCGGGAACCTGGGGACACTTCGGGGACCTAGAACTCCCTCCCTCTTGAGAAGCCCAGTGAAGCCAGAATCCTGAACGCAGAGCCTCTGAGGTAACCTGGGACCCAAGCCGTGCGGCCTGAGGTGCAAAGCTTATCTCTGTCTTCTTCCTTTTTATTTCTTTTTTTAGATAAGAGTCATCGGTTTCAACAAAGCGTGAGTCTGTTTCCTCTCGTCACTTCCCCGTGGCGGCTTCTGCCTTTTAAAAGCGCGGTGACCTCGGCTGTGAGTCAGGAACCGACATCCACCCGGGGACAACCTGCAGGGTATGAGTGCGGCCCCGGGCCCCTGGGCGGCGGCTGCCACCGCGGCCGTCTTCTTGCTGGGAGACTTCTTCTTCGCTTCGGGAGGCATCGCCGCCGGTGAGGCCCTGTGGTCACTGCTGTGGCCACCCCATCCTTCAGGGTAACATCCATTTGCGGGGGAGGGTGTCTTCGGCAACCTCCCTCTTTGCTGCGTCAAAGTTACAACACGTTTGCCCAGGTTTCTGAGACTCTAACGGGGGGAAAAGGGCGTATTCCTGACTGATTTCAGGATGAGCTTTGAATCGAACTAGTAATAATACAGATCTGTGTGCCAGGTTGAAAATGGGAGTGATTGTGTTGTTCTTTGTGTCCCCAAAGAGGACGAGGCTCTCGTCTGAGGGTGTGTGTACCTGCCTGGGGCGGAATTATGTCCGAAAGGTGGCGTTTTCCACGCCGGGTCCTCGGGCACCTGTGTCCATCGGCTGTGTCCTGCTTCAGCCCCAGGGCCCCGCTTTCTGAGGATGACAGGGAGGGTCACCGGGTGGTCTGTCCTGAGGACGCGACCCCCTGGGGGTTTCCAGAAAATTCCTGTGGGCTTGTGTGAGAGGCTGTGGTCAAAGGCTCGGAGAAGCGGAGGGAGGCACCAGGTTGTGGGCCGGTCGCTCGGGTTGGACCTGCCGGTGCGGATCTGCCACCGAGCAGAGGGGACGGCAGCTGCATGGCCACCTCAGACCTGAGGCTCTGAGGGCTGTTTCTGGTGGGATTTCACACCTGTTGCATCCGGTTTGGAAGCCTTCTCTCCAGCGACCTGTTTGGCTGGAGTCTCAGAGTCGTGAGTCGGGTGGACAGCGGGGGAGCCCAGAAATGGGTCCCCCAGCATTGCCGCTGCCCAAACTCTCCACGTGTCTGCTCTGGACGCCTGTGGGTTTTCCGACGTTGCAGTCCGGTGCCGCGTCCGCAGGGACTTGAACTCTGCTGTACCCCAGGCTTCCCTGAACCACGCCCCCTGACGCCCCCGGGTGTGGAGCTCAAATGAGGTACATGCAGGTTGGACACATTCGGGACCCTGACCCACGGACGCCCATCCCGGCAGACGCGGGTGTCCCGGGTCGTGGGCGGAGCCGGGGCCTGGGCGCAGCTTCCGGCCGCTCGGGGAGCCGCCTCGAAGCCTCTCTAGTAACTTCTTAGAAAGCACAAGGCTGCCTGAGTTTGTGGAAGGTCTCCTGGCTTCTGCGCGTTGAGGGTAGAGCTGCTCCTTACCTGAGGTCGTTCCAGGTGTGCTGTTGTCGAGGGAACAGGGTGTCGAGGGTGCGGAGCCCGGGCGAAGGGAGCCCGGTGCCCCCATCACTAATCCCTGGGGGGGGCGCGAGACCACCAACCACGGCCCAGGGCCCTTCGGGGGCAGGACTGAGGTCCCAGAGGTGCTCAGGGGGCCCCTGAGGCTCTACCCTGCGTTCGAGGTGCCAGGACTCCGTCTGCCTTCAGAAAAGGTTTCCATCGGAGGCAGCCTGTGTTTCTGATGGGTCGGTGGACCGATGGTGGCTGGGGACAAACTTAGAAAAGGGGGACAGCAGGATGGTGCGGGGTCTGTGGCTCCTTGTCCGGGCAAATGCTGGCTTCCAGCCACACAAACCCATGGTGTCTTTCGTCCTTGGTCCACCCTCAGCTTGTCCCAACGCCCAGCAGTCACACGAGCTGAAGTCACGCCTCCTGGCCTGGGGGGAACGGAGACAAAAGCAATGACAGGCAGTGAGGAGTGGGGTCCGGGCAGCACTGGGGGCCCCGAGAGCCAGGGATGCAGAGAGACAGCGGGGGGCCGACCACGCATGCACCCATGGGACTCAGGCAGAAGTGACGGGACGAGAAGAGCCATTCCCACCTGCAGACGCCCCCTCAGCACACGCGGACGGGACAGGGGCCCTGTCCGTGTTTGGGCGGCAGGCCTGGGGGGCGGGGAGGGCCAGGGGACCCTCCAAGGTGTGCTGTTCCAACCGTGCTGGCGAAGGGAACTCCAGACCAGCCCCCGCAGCCGCCTCCTCCAGGTGTTTGCCCCACCACATCCTGGAGGCTCCTGGACACCCCCCGGTGGGGGACGGGGTGCTCATCGGACACTCGTGCTGGATTCCTGGTGCCGGTGAGGGGGCCCCGCAGGGACACGGGGCCTTTGCAGCTGGGATGAGGGAAGGATGTGAGAGAAGGCAGTTGTCCTGGGTCAGGGTGGCCCTGCGTCCAGTGACAGTGTCCTTAGGAGACACAGACCAGAAGAGAAGCCACGTGGAGACATAGGCAGAGACTGGAGGGACTCAGCCAGCAGCCCAGGGACACCTGGAGCTCCAGGATCTGAAAGGGGGAAGGCCCCTCCCTGGAGCCTGTGGAGGGAACGCGGCCCCGGGACACGTGGGGACCTCAGACGCCTGGTGTCCAGGACGGGGTGGGTGTGGGTGACTGTGGTTTAAGTCCCCCGATCTGTGGTCCTTTGCTACAAGCCCCCAGAGCACTCACACCCGCCTTGTGGTACCTCCTTAGAATGCACCGTAAGCATGGTGGGCCCCTCGGGGGTCTTCTCAGTTTTCCACAGGGTTTGATGACAGTGAATTATTAGGTCATGGGAGCAGCTCCTGAGATGCTGGGGGGACAGCGGTGGGGGAGGGACCCCAGGTGTCACCTCCATTGTCATCGGGCACCACGTCCCGATCAGGTTGGCCAGTGAGCGTCAGTTAACGGCCGGGAAGCCACACTGTATGCTGAACACAGGCAGATGATGGAACTCAGAACAAGGTCGGTGCAGGTGGCCTGTGCCCGAGCTGGACCCTGGGGACCCCGGGAGGGCCTCACATGGCCGACGGTCGAGCTGGAGTCCAGAGCAGGGCTGGGCAAGGGCGGGCGGGGGGGCGGCCACACCAGGTAGTGGGCATCGCCCGTGGCTGGGGTCTTGTTGCTGATCTGAACGTTTTAGCTGCAGATTGAATCAACACTGAAGAGCAGACAGAAAGAAAGGGAGGGAGGAGGGAGGGAAAGACAGAAGGACGGAAGGAAGGAGGGAAGGAAGGAAGGAAGGAAGGAAGGAAGGAAGGAAGGAAGGAAGGAGGGAAGGACCTGCCGCTCCGACCTCACCTGACAGGTACTTTCCAAAACACGCAACCGTATCAGATGTGACGTCCCCTGTGGTCCCCAAGGTCGAGAAACCAAATTCTCCCGACCACCGACCGCCCCCTCTTCTGCAGGTGGACTTGGAGGGGGAGGCGGGCGGTAACTGTAGGGCAAACCTGTGGCTATTTCAACGACACCCCACAGGGTGCCCATGTGTTCACCTGCACACGCTCGGCCCCCGTGTGGGTTTGTGAGAAAAAAGAAAAAGGAAGAACCAGTCCCAGGGTGTCCCCAGGTGTGGGGACTGTGAGGCGCAGATGTCAGGGCCACAGCAGCCTCATGGGGTCCCTGCTCATCTGTGTCCCCATCGATTTCCTGACCTCCCCGCCACGGCCAGCCCCCAACAAGCACTGACCCCCTGTCTGTCCCTGCGGATGGGTGTGTTCTGGGCGTTTCCCACACACGGAATCCACACCGTGGGACCGTAAGTGTCTGGTGTCTCTCACGCAGCCTCCTGTGTCCAAGGTCCGCCCACGCTGCAGCCTGAGTCAGAGCCTCGCTCCTGTTCCTGGCTGCGTAGTATTCCACCGTGTACTTGAACCCCATTATTCATCCACACAGATGAGTTTCAGGATTTCCCCCACGTACCCTCACCACGGAATGTGTGCTGGTCACACGGGGAAATAAGGCCGTCACAAGCGATCCCTGCCATTTCCCGAGGCCAACATCCCCACTGTCTCCCTGAGAACAATTCCTTGAAGACGGATCATAGAGTTGATTGTAAACAAGCATTCTTTTAAACAATCTTTTATTTATTTTATTTTGTATTTTTAAAATACTTTATTTATTTATCTTTAGAGGGGAAGGGAAGGAGAGAAGGAGAGAAACATCAATGTGTGGTTGCCTTTCATGCGTCCCCTGCTGGGAACTGGCCTGCAACCCAGTCATGTGCCCTGACTGGGAATCAAACCGAGATTGTCTGGTTCACAGGCCCGCGCTCAATCCACTGAGGTATACCAGCCAGGGTGTAAACAAGCATTTTTTTAAAGCCAAATTAAGTGGCTCCTTTTCTTTAGGAAAACATTGCAACATAACAGTATTTGGGGGGCGCCCGGCTCCGTGGCGGGAAGCGCGTGCAGTCACACGGCTGTGCACCCCTGCCCGCCGTCCTTCCCAGACCTTCGTCCTGGTCCCAGACACCAGCTCTGTCCCCAGCAGCTTCTCGCGCCCCTCCCCCTCGCTGGGCCCCGGCCCCCACTGTCCACGGCCGGTCTCTGCGAACCTGACTCTGGGAGGGGCCTCCGGGCCGTGCGGTCTGGCAGTGTTGGGGTTTTAAGTTCCTTGTCTCGTGGACGGTTTGTTTGGCTTTCTGGGGAATTCACACGGGCCTCCGAGAAAGTGGGGTTTTCCCGTAGAAAGTCCGCTTTCACGGTGGGAACTGTACCCAACACCAAGGTCTCTCTTGGCTTGCCGGTCTCTGTCTGTCTGTCTCTGTGTCTCTCTGTCTTTCTATCCTTTCATCCCTGTCCAGCTACAAGCCCCTCTCATCACCAGGGCGACCTGGCCGCCGGTTCTTTCCTACACCTCGCTGTGGGTGCCTCTGCTTCTTAAGACCTCCCTCCATTGCCAGACACATCACAGGGACCGGTGAGTGTGGCCCATGTTTCTGGAGTGACCCCCGTGGCAGAAGCCCACCTCCGTGGCCGTGAGTGCCCTCCCTGGACAGGCTGACCCGGGGAGACAGGACGGCGACATGACGAGACCAAGATGACATCTTCCACGGGACTCGGGGCCACCAGGGTGCTACCCACAACCTGCCCGATGGCTCAGGACGGGGCGATCCCTGCGTGGATGGGGGACTTTGTGCTTTTGTGGGGGAAACACAGCCAAAGACACCATCTGCTCCCCACTGAGCTGCTCCTCCCGTGAAGAAGGAAGAGACAGGATAAGCCTTTTGTCCTTGAATAAGCGTAAAACTGAACAGTTCTGTGCCTCCCGGGCCGTGGGCCAAAGAAGCTGCCATCCTTCTGATCTGGCTGTTCCCACATGTTCTTGAGATCAACAGCGACAACCCCCCCTCGCCACGGGCTTCCCCGCACCAGGGGTCCCGCGCACCAGCCCCTGCTCCACCCACGGGGCACCCAGAGGGCCCGTCTGTGGCGCCTAATCATTTATGCAACAGAAAAACAAGTCTCTATATTTGGGGGGGGATGCAGTTTCACAACTTCTCTTATCCTCTCATAGAAAGTGGGGGGATGGAGCTCACCACACTCCTTCCTATTTGCGTGTCAAAGAGTGGGGTGGGGGGGCTTGAGGGACACATCGCGGGGTCTCCAACCTGGCACAAAGCCCCGCCACGGGGGAGTAGGGGCCAGAAGGAGGGGGATGTGATCCTGTGAGTTATTCCTTCAAGGAGAGTTGGCATTTCTATCTTCTCTCGTGTTAGGGTCGGGGGTACAGCATTGTGATTGGGTACTTTCGCAACTTTCTTTCTTTTTAATTATTATTATTTATTTATCTTTAGAGGGGAAGGGGAGGAGAAAGGGAGAGAAACATTGGTGTGTGGTTGCCTCTCGTGCGCCCCCTGCTGGGGACCTGGCCCGCAACCCAGGCATGTGCCCTGACTGGGAATCGAACCAGCAACTTTTGGTTCCCAGGCCTGCGCTCCATCCACAGAGCCACAGCAGCCAGGGGGATACTTGTGCAACTTTCCAAGTCACCTCTTTGGTATTTCCGCCACCCACCAGGTGCCCTTAGTGTATTCCCCAGATGGGTTTTCCATCCCTGTGGCTGTTCCGCAATTGCCAACGTGCTTATAATTTCTTCACATTTTTAACTGGCTCCCCCAAGTCCTCACCGCATGTGGCCACGGTCTGTGTGTCCTCTGATGGACAGTTGGTTGGTTTGTGTACCCGGTTGTATCGATTCCACACGTAGGAGAAATCATGTGGTGTCTGCCTTTCTCTGTGTGCCTTGTTCACATTCTAAGGATAAATCTCAAGACGCCGGAAACACTGATTTGTAAAACACACGCACCTGTATGTCGCTCTTTGTGATGTTATTTACGATCACCGAGACCCGGAAAGGACCCAGGTGCCCGTCACTGGGCCAGTGGGTCAAACAGCTGTGGTCCATTCACACAGGGGATGCTACTCAGACCCAAAAAGGACCCTCACACTTGGGGACAACGTAAACAGTGTCAACGATGCCGGTGCAGGGAGCCTCTCCCGCTGCCGTGGCTGAGAGAAGTTAGTGTCTTATATGTAGTTGGGACCTGCCCACACTGAGTTCGGGAGGCAGCCAGGATGGAGCAGTGGCGTAAAGGCTTTCTGGGTCTCTATGAAGGCACGGGAGCCCTCAGGAACCACTCGCTGACCTTGAACCTGCTTCTGAAGGTGCATCGAGGGGAAGAAACCATGCAATGGTGACCCTGGGACATCGTCTTGTGCAGACAGGGCAAAGACGTCCACAGGTTCCTGCCAGTGCACATCTGAGAATTGCTGCCGTTCGCCCGTGGGGAGGGTGCGAACCCCACCTGTGCCCCGGACTCGTCAGCAGCGGGTGAACCCGCCAGGAGGACTCAGCAGACAAAGACCACACACCCGAGGGGACCCCGGTGCGCTTGTCCCCTTTCATGCTGCCGCGGCTTACCTTTTGACCCCGTGGCTGAGTCACAGTGTGGGCGAGGCTCAGAACCACAAACACTCACTTCCTTTTCAGCTGGAACCCGGGGGCCTGTGGCGTTATCAGTGAGGAATGTTCCAGGCGGGCAGGGGACAGAGGTAGACATCTCCTGGGCCTACGGCAGAAGCGCAGCTTCCCCTTCTGAAGGGTGGGGAGGCCCGCCCCGGTCTCTCTCCATTTCAGGGAACTGTGGGGCCGACGTTGAGAGGGTCCGCTGGGTGCTCACCCAGCATGGAACCGGGATCGCCCACCCGCGTGGGCTCGTGGAAGGAAGTCCTCTAGAACTCAAAACCGCTGACATCCCTCCTTTCCCCGTTGATTTTTCCGACCTTGCGTGAGATGTACGGTCCCATCGTGAAATCTCCCACGAAGATCAATTTTCCTTCCCCTACCCGTTCTGAACATTTTCCTACATGCTCACCACAGGTCTGGACACGGTGAGGGGCCATAGGACACCGGTTAAAGTATGAGTAACATACAGGGCTCGTTGGGAAAAGAGGCCCTGTAGCCGCATTGGTAACAGGCAGACGGTGGAGAGGCTGATAATAGCCATAGCCAGTGGCCGGACATAGGGAGACCCAGAGACCCGGCCCACCCTCTGCAGCACCCTCCCTTCCTCACGGACCACATTCCCGATTGCAACTTGGAACCGACCAGAGAGAGAACCCACGCAGCGTGTCCTCTGTCCATTCACACGAGAGAGCCTGCTTCTGATGAGCCACCCACGCTGAGCACTCTGGAAGTCTCCCCGGGTCCCATGTGGAGTCCCTCTGGGTCCGACTCTCCTGCCGGCCTTGGCATCCAGGGCCAAATGCCAGCGAGGGCGGCTGCGTCTCTGGCCACCGCGAGTTCTGAACAGGCAGCCTGTGCGTGGTGTCTCCGGGGCGGTCTTTCTATTGTCTCCTCACAGTGGGCATCGTCGGTCGCGGTGATCCCAGAAGGGAAAGAGAATGTTGGCTGGAGGACTCGAGAGAGGCATCTGTGAACTACAAGATGGGTTTTGGGAAATGGGTCACGCGTGGGCTGACAGAGGGGCTGTGGCTGACTCTGGGCCACAAGAGAAGGGGTGGCCCCCCGAATTTCCAATCGGGGGAAGGACGGGGCAGGGCCGGCACCCAGCACCGAATGTGGAGTGTGCTTCCCTGACCCTCCACCTCAGAAGTTAGGGACGTGTGTCTCCTCAGTGGAACTACCCCTCACACCCTGTTGGGTGCTACCAATGTGCCCACGCATCCATCCACCTAGCCATCTCTATCTTTCTTTTTTAAGATTTTATTTATTTATTTTCAGGAGGGGAAGGAGAAAGAGAGGGAGAGAAACATCAATGTGTTGTTGCCTTGTGTGCGCCCCCTACTGGGGACCTGGCCCACAACCCAGGCGTGTGCCCTGACCGGGAGTCGAACTGGAGACCCGTAGTTCTCAGGCCAGTGTTTAATCCACTGAGCCACACCAGCCAGGGTCTACCTTTGTATGTCTATCTGTCTGTCTCTCATCTATCCATCTCTTTATCCATCCATTTATCAATCATGCTTCTGTTCAGCCAGGCACCATGTCCACTGAACCATCCATCCATCCATCCATCCATCCATCCATCCATCCATCCATCTCTCCATTCATTATCTGTCTGTCTATCATCTATATATCTCTTTATCCATCCATCCATGTATACATATGTCAATCCTCCACTATCTATCCATCCATCGTATCTATCCATCTTGTATGTATCAATCTTCTATCTATCATGTATCTTTACATTTTCCCTTTTAATCCAATACCACGGGGTAGATTGGAGCCCACCACCTTTGAAGGTGGGTAGCTCCCTTCTCTGACAGGTTAAAGCCCAGCCCTCCCCACTCACCACGTCATCACCCCTTGACTCAGTCCCAGGACACACCCACCCACTATTTGCAGACTCACTCAGCACAGCTTTACCAGTGTCAAAGCTGCTGAACCCTGAGTCACTGTTCAAAGACTGAAAGACCCACTTGTCCCCAAGCTTCTCTTCAAGTTGTCATGTGTGGCGTTCTGAGGGAGACAGTGACTTTGGTGCACAAGGGACAGTGTCTGATGTCCCTCTTTGCCCCCACCAAGGACAGTGGCACTGGATGCACAGTTGGGATTCACTGTGTGCTATAGACAAAAACCACTGGTCTCAAAAATGCGAGAAGAAAGACCATTCTCGTCCTACTGAGGGTGGTGGCCTCTCGGGGTAACTGGCCTGAACAAACTTTATATCCATATATCCTTCCCCTCCTAACTCACATAATTAATGGCTGGCTAGTGTGTGAAAAATTCTGGGTTTCATCGGTCCTTTCAAAGCGCCGTACGATCTTTATGACAGTGGTGACGACATCACTTGACACACCCAAACTCTTTTCTGCGTCTCCTGAAGCCCTACTCTATTTTTCTTCCCCCCCAGGAGAAGTATCGCCATTTCATATCATCAACTTCAATTTCGAAACCGTGCAGGTGACATGGAATGCCAGCAAACACACGGGGGCTAATTTCACTTTCCGCTACAGGTAAGGGCTGCCTGTGGACAAAGATCATAAACAGCCCTGCCCGGCGCCAAAATACCTCTTCTCCTGAGAAATCAGCAGTGGGAAGGGCCAGGGAAGAAAACTCTGGAATAAGCAGAAGGTCTAAGTATAAATACGTGTGTTTTCTTGTCCCCTCCCAGTACAACCACGGCACCACAAACCTAACCAGGTGATGACTGAGTCACACACGAAACTACCTAGATTCTCAGCTCAGTGTTCACAACACACTCTGTTCATGGGGGGCTCACTTTCAATGTCTTAGCAGGCCCATTTCCAGGATTCTGCTGCCTGGAAATACTACCTGCTACGCCACCCTAGCAAAGAGTATTTCAGGATCACATTTCAGGATATCAGGATACCAGGTACGACCTTTTGAGACCGTCTTTTTCTGTGACCAGCTTATTCACCTTGCCGTCCACCCTGGAAGGTAAATTGGTGTTCACATGACGGGAAGGGTTTTCCCCCCACGAATCGAGTTCAGTTCCACAGACATTGGGTGTGTGATGTGTGGTCGGTCCTTGCCGTTTGATAATCTAGGAGATAAGTGTGAAAGCGTACAACACAGGGAAATTTTAAAGATGAATGGATTTGGAAAGTAAAAGTCACAGGAGAAAAAAAGTAAATAAAGGGCTGGCTTTTCCAGAGAGGCCCCAGAGATGGGCCGCATGAGGTGTCTGAGCATTAGTTTTTAGTTTTCTCACTATGAAGGGGGTACATTTAGGTCTAGACACCACTGGGGTTCGGGATGTTTAGGTTGAAGCATTAGGTGGTCTCGGGCTGAGGACTAGGGCACTTCTAAGAGTGCAAGGAAGTTCAAAGTCGCGTCCCATCTTAGTGCAACCGTTCGAAAGTGCCTTTCACACCAGAGGACTCATTGCTCTGGAGGTCAGACGGCACCTGCATTTGTTCCTGGAAAGAACATGAGGAATTATCACAAGGCTTCTTCGAACCGCAGATGTTCCCCCTCTGCCCGTCCTGGAGACCAGACGTCTGAGATCATGCACCTGTCTCGGGGCTGCACTCCCGCCACAGGCTCCAGGGAGGGGTCTTTCCGCTTCTTCCAGCTCTGGAGGCGCCGGACGTCCCTGGGCTGGTGGCCGTGTCCCTCCTGTCTCTGCCTCCATCTCCACGTGGCTTCTCCTCCATGTCTGCGTCTCCTCTTCTGTCCCTTCTCAGGACACTGTCACTGGGCGCAGGATGACCTCCTCTCAGATCCTTCCTGCAACGGCCCCTGCTCCCACCTGTTCGCAGATCCCTGGGATGGGTACAGGAGCATATGTTTCGGATGTCACCGACCAGCCCTGTACATATACCACTGAAAAGGTTTAAACACTTGAGCGAAGGAATGCTTTTCTATTCGGAAGGTCTCCGGTCTGAGCCCATGGCCGGTGGACACGCTAAGAGCCTTCTGTCCCAGGCAACCTACAGCCAGGTGTCATCTTTTCTGACTGCAGGTTTCGCGGGGACAATTACAGCCAATGTCCCAGCTACCTCCTTCAGCACCGTCTCACCGTGGGCTGCGTCCTCCAGGCGAAAGGAGATTCGGTGATGGATTTCTCCATCGGGAATGGGACCCACCTTGTTCTCTCCCACAGCACGTGGATCAGCGATTTCTGTGAGTGCGCAGAGGGCGGAGGGCTGCTCCTACCCCAACACCAAAGACGCCGGCCTTCCGGAAAGTTCTCTCTCAACATGCACGACAGAGATGCATGCACTCTGGGAAGGCTGTCTCTGGAGACTATGAACCAGTGATGTGGCGTTGGTGTTTTCCCCCCAAATGAGCAGAGAAATACACCTTCCGTGCACGGCACACACCCCATTCATTTTCCTTCACTGCTTTGAGGTGGATTGTTTACCTTGGATTAGAGAATACTGCACACATGGAGAAACCTTCTCTCCAAATACATAGTCTTCATTCTGTATTTCTGGGAGATAGCCTTTTATATTCTTTTAAAATTAGGGATGGGTGTCCAGGGAGCATCTCAGAATCGGATGCAACCCACGGGGCCCCCTCCTGGCAAAACCACCCAGAGACCCTCTGATGAACTTCCTAAGGCAGCCGCAAAGTCCTCCCAGCCTGGTGGCTTCGAGGAAACCTTTCTGGCCTCATCGTTGGGAAGCTAGAAGCACGATCTCAAGGTGCTGGCCCAGCAGATTCCCTCCCAACGCTCTGAGTGAAAATCGGTCCCAGGACCCAGAGCAAGCCTCTCAGGGTTCCAAAATCCTCAGTGTCCCTTGGCTCGTAGCTACGTCACCCCAGTTTCTGCCTGCGTCTGCCCACAGCCTCTTAGGTGTGGCCTAGTCTCTCCTTCCCCTTCTAAGGAGCCAGCCACACGGGTTTCGCAACCACCTTAACGGCAAGACAGCCTCGTTTTACGTTACATAGCGACATCTAGAATGGTCCTACTTCCTAGTCATGGGGGCATTAGCATGCTTCTTTTGCCGGGGTGGGGGGGGGGGAGGCATGATTCAACCCTTAACAGAAACACAAGTTTTTCATGCAACTTCACAAAGCTCCTTCAGGACACACCTACTGCCTACCGGTCAGTCCTTGGAGTCCAGGTTAAAAGCTCTATTATGATCCCTGTCATATGGAGAAGGGACCTGCAAACCACCGAAGGAATTACAGGCAGGCGACAGGGAATGCAAGCAATTTCACCGCGGCCACTGTTGCCGTGGTGACGGTCCCCGCGTTATCTCCCCCGCCCCTTAGTGAAGCCCGGCTCCCCGCGAGACCTCCAGTTCCACTGGCACGAGGGAGCCCTCACGGTGACGTGCTCCGACCTGCCGTACCGAGGCCTCCGGTACGAAGTCCAGCACAAGAGCATCTTCGATGAACAGTGGCAGGTGAGTGGCCGGGGTGGCATTTTCTCAGGGCTGGGGTGACGAGACATCCCCAAGACGCTGCCTCCAGAAACATCCATCCGTTGCCTTCCGTCTGCATCTGGACCAGGGGTCGAACCCACAACCTTTTGGTGCCCGGGATGATCTCCAGCCACCTGACGGCCACCCAGCCAGGGTTCTCCCCCTCTTGCACGCCCTCACCTGCAGTCCCACAAACAATTACGTTTTCCCAACAGGACACCGGAGCTCTGTCCTCGGGGTGTCCGTGAATGGCATTCCCCAGGGCAAACGGGTGCATGTCAGCCACGGGAACGTATTCCATAGGTGGGCCGGTTTGCAGCACCGCTGGCGTTGGCAACTAGATGGTGGGGCCGAGCAGCACACAGAAGGGGGCGGGAGTTTTGGTAAAACTCGAGAGCGAGACGGCTAGGGAGAGATGAGGGGGAGCCCCGCCCCGTGGGAGACTCCCTAAAATGTGGGCGCACAGCAATAACAGTCAAAACGATGGCAAAACACCCCCGAACGGGAGTCCTATTTAACCGAGGCAGCAGGGAGTCTGTCAGGAAAGGGGGAAACTCAGATTGCATGGCTGGACCTACCAGAGCAGAATCACTCCTCCTTAAAGAAGTGCAAGCTCAGTGCAAGTCGAAAGCACAGTGGGCACAGCCTTTGGCTCCCCAGCGATGGTGACACAGGAGACGTTCAGTGACATTCGGCGGCCAGGGACTTGGAGAACGTAGCCGTGGTCTGACTTCTGACCCACGGATCCCCCGTTTTGGAAATTGATCCTAAGGAGATCATTCAACATGTCACGGCGGTTTTATGCACACGACATCTCTCGGGGTGTTAGCTAAGACAAATATGAAAGATTTGGGCCACCTGTATGTCACCCAGTAGATGAACAGCCCACAGATGGTCGTCCCTGGCTGGGATGCTCCGCTGGTCGGAGCATCGTCCTCTATACAAAAAGGTTGCAGGGTTGATCCCCAGTCCGGGCACGCACCTGGGTTATGGGTTCGATCCCTGGTCACGGCATGTACGGGAGGCACCTGATTATTTTTCTCTCAGTCTCTCTGTCTGTAAAAGCAATAAACATAGCCTTGGTTGAAGATTAAAAAGACAAATAATGATACATTAATATAATACAACGTTAAAGAGCCATAAATGGACGCTTTAAAGAATATTTACTGCCCTGGCTGGTGTGGCTCAGTGGATTGAGCGCTGGCCTGTGAACCAACAGGTTGCTGGTTCAATTCCCAGTCAGTGCACATGCCTGGGTTGCGGGCTGGGTCCCCAGTAGGGGGCGCAAGAGAGGCAATCACACACTGATGCTTCTCTCCCTCTCTTTCTCCCTCTCTAAAAATAAATAAATAAACGCTTTTAAAAGTGAATATTCACCGATCAGCAGCCATGCGTCCGGTGAAACATTGTATTCTATGAGTTGCAGGAAAGGAAGGATACATGTTCGTTCACGGTGGTTACCTTTTAGCATTTTAAGTTTCTTCTGCCTCCTGGTGTGCATGTGTTCCCTGGAACTTCCAAAGGAAGCGCGTGCTACCCTTCTATTCAGAAACAAAGGCTTCTCTTTTTCAAAGGATGACTTGCCCGCACTGAAGCACTTCTTCACAAACACCTGGCGTCGTCTTTGTTGTAAAGGATTGTGCTGTTGTGGTTTTAGGAGGGAAGGACAGATGTGTTGATGCGTGGTCTCTTGCCATTGGTTTGAGGGTTCAGATCTGGGCAGAAAGACAAACTCACCCAAGACCCCCAAGAGCCTGCAGGGGAAAGTGGAGTCCCCAGGGGCAAAGAGAAGCGTCCAGGTGATGTCACCGATGCACCTGTTCCTTTCTCTTCCCTGCAGTCCACGGAGGAAGACACCTGCAATGTGACGATCAAGGCCTTGGATGCTGCCAGGTGCTACAGCTTCCGGGCCAGAGTGACGGCCAAGGAGTCCAGCTACGGCCCGCACACCTACCCCAGCGACTGGTCGGAGGTGGCCCACCGGCAGAGGGGCGAGCCGCGAGGTGAGGCTGGGGACGCAGCCACACGGCCCCCCGGCCTGGCGGGCGGGGTGCGCAGGGCACCTGGAAACCCCAAGGACCTCCCTCCTCGTCACGAGGTCAGCCTGAAGGCAATGCCTCTGCTTCATTTTCTCTCCAGCCCCGCTTTTCACTGGGGCTCATTTTCAGTGTTTGCTTCTCGTAACTTGGCAACGGTAAATAATAAGGATTATTTGTCAATGCTGTTACATTGATGTGGGTGGATAGATCTACAGGTAAGTAGATGGATGATGGAAACAGGTAAATAGATGATAGGTAAATAGGTAGCTCAAAGACTCATAGGTAGATGATACAGATAGATGATGGATGGATGGATGAGTAGGTGGATGATATAAGTATATACATTGATAATACATGATTAATGGAAGGATGGATAGATGGATTGGTGACAGATAGGTGGGAAGATGATTGATGGATGAGTAAACAGATACATAGTGGGTAGATGGATGGGTCGATGGTGAATGGATGATGGATGATGGGTGGATGGATGGTGGACTGATGGGTGGATGGGTGGAGGATAAATAGATGGATGGATGGATGAGTGTATGGATGGATAGATGGATGGTGGATGGATGGATGGATAGATGGATGGATGGATGGATGGATGGTGGATAGATGAATGGATGGTGGATGGATGGATGGATGGATGGGTAGATGGATGAATGGGTGGGTGGATGGATGGATGGAGGGGTGGATGGATGGATGGTGGATGGATGGGTGGGTGGGTGGATGGATAAATAGATGGATGGATGGGTGGGTGGATGGATGGATGGAGTGGTGGATGGTGGATGGATGGATGGAGGGGTGGATGGGTGGGTGGATGGTGGGCTGATGGGTGGATAGAGGCCTCCCAGGTGACATGCAGCAGTGAGCCTGCACACTCTCAAACAGCCGGGCAAGGCCAGTACAGAAGGGCAGTGCAATGAGCCTACACTAGGTGCCTGATGTGAGTCTGTCTGGGGACACCTTCTGTCCTTCCAGGATGCTGCCAACCAAAGTCACAACTTCCTGATATACTGACAGGTAACACAAGACAAAATGGACATTGGTGCTCGATCAGTCTCCTATTATAAACTAACGGTGCTTCACCTGTTTTGCGTTAGATTCCTGCCAGAAGACACCTCTTTCCTCCAAATTTATTGTCGTGTACGGCATGGTGGCCGTCCTGATTGTCTTCCTCCTGCCCCTGACTCTGTGGAAACTGCACAGGTAAGGCCCGTTCTCGCCAGGTGCGCCAGACCCACCGGTGGAGGGTTCCGTTCTAACACGCCCAGGAAGTGGGGGAAGAGGCGGACTGTCCGCCACGGTCAGTTAGCTGACCACCACATCCCCTACGAGGCTCGTCCAGTTTTTACATCCAGGCATGGACACTGCAAAACAATTCTTTGAGACTGTACACAGTTTCACAAAATGTTATAGTAATTTCTTTTCTCCCTGAGCTTCCCACAAAACAAGGTAACCACTGCTGCTCCTGTCTGTGTTGAAACCCACCGGCGGGCAGGGGTTGGGTGGTTATGAGTTTGAAAGTGCTGATGCCCAAAGTTTGGGGCGCCGTCCTGGTTTCTTAGGAGAAGGTTTCCATAGCAATGAGGGGAGTGATATTAACTGTCTGATGGTCCAGGTGTGGGCAGGGCCTGTCTCCTCCACGGGCCTCTGTCCTTAGTGTCTGGGCAGCAGCTCCTTCCTCTGTCTCCTCATGATCTTTTCTCCATGGACACCAACACGCCAGGGATTCCTCTCTTGTCACAGACACACCAGCTTTATGAAATAGGCGCCCAATAAGTTACCACCTCTTTCGTTCTGCACCCGAGGGTGTGGGAATTAAACGGACCAGAGACAGATTTCTTGGAGGAAAGGCATTATGGAACTGCATTTACACACAAGAGGGCATCACAGAAAAGAACCAGAACCCCCCAAAGGCAGTTAGTCTGCGGGGCGTTGCACAGCATTTTAACAAGGCGCGATCGGTGAGGGACAGGGGACTGGAGAGAGGGCCCGGGTGTGGCAGCGGTGGGAGGTTCGGGGCAGAGGGGCGGGGAGACACGCTCGGAGGAAGCGAGTAGCAGATAAAAACTTTCTGTGCAGAATTATCTCGTCATCGCGCTGGTGGTGCCGCTCCTTCGCTTCTTGGAAAAGGAGCAGGGGCGCCTTCGCACACGCACACACACCTTCTTCTGCGAAAGGGGAACTTGCTGCGTTTAGGGCGCTGGGGGGAGGGCAGAGAGCCCCTGTAGAGGGCCACCAAATACCCAAAGTGGCGCATCTCCGGCCTAACGTTCAGGAGCTCAGTTGGCCCTTAGTTACCTTGTAAAGGGCTTGATGCCCCAATGCAGCTACATCTACAGGCTTCAACCTATAGATTTTGGGATGTGGGCAACATTCAGCTGAAAACGTCAATGAAGAAGGAATAAAGAGGAATCATTATGGGTCCGTGAGGTGCTGCAGGGCCCTCAGCTGACACCCCTGGTGGACTTCACGTGGGTGCCCGTGGAATCGGGGTCACAGTTCCATCTGGGCGCCGAGTCCCCTGTGTGAGCAAACTCCCTGTGTGCCCTGCAGAGTGAAGAAGCTGCTGGTGCCCCGCGTGCCGGACCCCAAGGTCACCTTCCCTGGGCTCTTCGAGTCCCACCATGGAAACTTCCAGGTAAGCGTCGCACTGTGCCTGCTGTCCTGGTGGGCTGGCGCATGCCCTCACGCCTCCCCGGAGCACCGTGCTTGATTCCAACACACATTCCGGCCACCTCGTCCCGTGCCCCTGAGCCTCTGCTGGTCTCATACCGGTGGCTTGTCTTTTTCATCTTCTGGTCGGAGAGGCAAAGCCCTCAAGCAGCCCTAAAGGTGGGTTCTCTAGAAATCAGCCCCAGAGACCTGCGCCCCGCCAAACCGGCTCTCCTCACACCAGGAAGTCGTGGCTGTTCCCCTCACGCTGAACTCGGGCCACCAACGTTGGCTTTCCAACATTCGCTGCCATGGTTACTGCCCGGGAAACACTTAGGGGAGCCGAGGACCAGCTGGTGGAGAATTAGGGGGAAGGGGCCGCTCCCACCTCAAGGAGCCCAGCAGAGGCCCCAGGTTCCAGTGTGGATTTTGTAGCTCAGTGTGACAAGTGTGTTCTCAGTTCCCTGCGGAGGCCACACACAGTCACCCTCCCATGTCCTGGAGACCAGGCGTCTGAGGTCCAGGTGTCCCCGGGCTGGTGGCCGCCTCCCTCCAGTCTCTGCCTCCATCTCCACGTGGCTTCTCCCCTGGTCTGTGTCTCCCCTTCTGGGTCCCTCTCAGGACACTGTCACTGGGTTCAGGGCCACCCTGACCCAGGACCACCTCCTCTCTGATCGTCCAGTAATCTCATCTACCGAGACTCTGTTTCCAAACAAAATCACCCTCACCATTGGGAAGGTCAGTACCTTTTTGAGAAGAAGTGTGCACCACTCAGCTTCCCGCGGGAGCAAAGTGAGTGTCTAAGCTACTGAGGTGCGGAGGAGGAAACAAAATAGGATTAAACAAGGGGAGAGAAACCCTTCTCTCTCCTCTCTTAGGTTCTGTGCCGGAGGAGGACCGGGTGCCAAATGGACAAAGGACACATTAGAAAGACGCAGTAACCAGAGAAAAAGTTCATTTCATAGGCACATGAGGCAGGGAGCGGGTGACAGAAAAGAAAGGAAAACCCCAAGGAGGGGGGTCAGTGCGGCGCTGATGCCATTTCAGGGCAGAGTAGCGGAGCGCAGAGAAGAGATTGGACCAAGGAGAGGGGGCGGGGCCAGACCAGAAGAGAGGCGTGGCCAGAGAAGGCGAGGGGCGGGGCTTGTGCGTGGCAGGATGGCGAGCTCAGGAAGTTTCCATACGGCAGCGAGGCCTGTGTGGGTTCCGAGGGGACAGCAGAGACCGTTTCCAAGCGCGAGTCCCGCTGACAAAGGGGAAATCCGTGCGCTGCTTTTACGCACAAACAGGGCGGGGAGCTCCTGAGGGGGGCGCTGTCTGCTGACGTTGCTTTCGGCTCCCCCTAACCTCCCTGCCACGTGGGGGTGGCGTGGACCCCTCTCCTTCAACGGAGAGAGCGGACGGAGCAGGCAGAAAGCCCTTGTGGTTGCATCTTTGTGCTAAAGCCACTGGCTCTAGACTCGCGTGGTGTCCTAGGCCGGCCTAGGACACGCAGTTGCAAATGTGACTGCTGCCGTGACCCACGGGGTGGCGTTCCCCCCACGGAAGGAACTCGCAGGCTGCCCCGCTGGGGCAGGGGCCCTTCGCTCCCCCAACCTCACCCCCAGGGAGCTCGCTGACCCGGGCCTTCCTGCCTGCGACTTCCCGGGCTGTGTCCCCACAGGAGTGGATCAAGGACACCCAGAACATCGCCGTCTTGAGTAAGGTGGAAGACGAGGAGCAGGAGTCCATCCTGGCAGAGCCGCTCCTGGTGCAGCTGCCCAGGACCAAGGCCGAGACGCCCGCGGCCACGGTGACAGACCCGTCGCACCCGCAGACGGTGCAGACCGCGGGGGACCCCGACCCGCTGCTCCGCCCACCCGCTCCAGGCAAGGAGCAGGTCTCTCTGGGGGGCTTCACGTTTGTGGTGGATGACAACGCGTATGTGACCTTGTGACGTGGCTGCGGACCCAAACCCGGCGGCAGGTGCGTGGGGTCACAGACACCCTGAGGAGATCTTCCTGGGGACTCGATGTCACCCCCCCCCCGTGAAGGGGACAGACACCCCCGGACCAATGATGCCAGCGTGCGGGGGCTCACCAAGTCCGCAGCCGCCCAGACAGTGCTGTGCCGGAGTCAGCCTTCACCCCACGGGCCACGCTGTCCCAGGGCTGGAGGCGGATTCACCGCAGGCGGCAGAGGACCGGCTGCAGCTGGTCTTTGTTTCAGTTCCCACATCTGCCGGGCGGACCCCTCACCCCCACCCCGATCCTCAACGGACAGTATTTTCCACTGGTTTTAGAGAGAGGGGAACAAAGTGCAAACAGAGACAGGGAGGAAGAGAGGGAGAAGAAAACACGGATGGGCTGCCTCCTGTACCCACCCCGACCGGGGATCGAACTGGCAACGTTTTGATGTACGGGCGATGCTCCCATCTGCTAAGCCACCCGGCCAGGGCGTGGTCGAAGCCCAGGCTTATCTGACAGCCCCTTCCCTCCCCTACACCCTCCACATCCCCCCCTTCTCTGCACGAACACTTGGAAGCAATTTCCTGGATCTTTTGCTTCCTGGAACCTATACCGGGCAAAGCGGCCAGAAGCTCTGGGCCTGGAAGGCCCCCTCGTTCAGCAGAGGCAGCCAGCCACCCGGCCCTTGCTCTTTCTGCCGGGCAACACCCCCTGGGCAAGAATTGGGGCATTTCCTTCTGGAGACTTTGTTCCGCGGGTGATGGCAGAGTCACTGGAAGCATTAATCCCCATGGAGTGGGCCTCGCCGTTTTTAGGTGGCCCCTGCAATCCAGAGACAAAAGCACCAGGTTGTCATGAGAACTATCTCGGGGCCCACATCAGCGCCCGATGCAAGGAGATAGAAGAGAACGTGTTCACTGTTATCTCCTGGGCTTCGCGGCTGCACAGGAAGTGCTGTAGATGGTTCAGATCTGGGTTTGCTCAGCCCGCGCGGCTCTTCCTTCTCTCCGGGCGCGCAGTGCTGCAAATAAACGTCGATCGCACACTTGGACGCTGTGTGTGTTCTTGGGAAAATACAATGAGAGAGAGAGAGGGGAAAAAAACCCAAAAACCCACGCCCCAAAGCCTGTCGGCGCAGGACACCAGGGAGAGCACCGTTTAGTATTGAAATAGCCGAGGCGCGTCCCCCGGCCACCCACGGAGCAACAGCAGGCAGTGAAAGCCGCTCACCCGCTTTCACGGCCGAGCAACCCCTTCCATTGCTGTTCTCCAGAGGAAAAATAAATAAACACCTCGTTTTCTCCGATCTTTTGGACTGAGCGTGTGCGGCGATGCGGAGGCAGCGCAGGTTGGTGGCGCGCCTTCCTCTTGCGGAGAGGAGACAGGGTCGCTGCTTCCCCACCGTCCAACGGCAGGGCGCGCTCCTGGTCTGGGTGGGTGTGTGGTCCGCGGTCAGAAGGTGGGACCTGAGACCCCAGCCAGCGGACTCTGCGTGCGCCCCGCTCCCCGCTGCCCCGGCTGCACCTAAACCTTGTTTCTGGGCCCCCACGAGCCTTCAGCACATCGCGCTTGCGCCCACGCGCCCACGCGCCCATGACGCAGCGTGCGCAGCGGCTCTCCGTGCATTCTTCACGGACGTCGTTCTTTTGGTAACTTTTAGGGTGTTTTTTTTTTCAGTTCCCATGTATAGCCATCATTATTTTCCATTAGTTTCCCGGGTACAGCATACTTTTCACGAGACATGTGTGGGACTTACAAAGGGATTCCCCTGCCGATATCTCCAGCACCCACCCGGCCCCACGCAGAGTTATTCCGGTATCACTGACTCGGTTCCCTGTGCTGCACTTTCCATCGTGTGACTGGTCTGTCATGATGCATTTATACTTCTCCGCCCCCTCGGCGCCCCAGGCCCCTCCCCTCTGGCCACTTTCTCTGAGCTTCTTCCCGTTTCCTTTTGCTCCCGGTTCTTTAGTGACGCAGCAGCATTGAACCAGCTTATGAAGAAAATGATTTGGGGGACATTTCCCTTACACAGCTGGGCTGTGCTGGCTGCCGGCCGCCTGCAGTCCCCAGCCCAGTCTAGGGGAGTCGTGGACGCACGAGCCCGCCGTGGCCAGGCCTGACTTAGCACACACACTGGCGCCCCCGTGTCAGGTCGGCCGTTACGAAGCTTATGGTTGGAGACAGGAGCTAAACCCTGTTTTGGGTTGTGAGGATAGATGCTTAGCTCAAGGCCTCAGCGGCTCTGGGGATGGGTGTCCCTCCCTCTTTCCTGCTGCGGGTGGGTGAGGTTTGTCAGTCACTGTAGTGTTTTTTCCCTGCTGGGGCTGCAGGGACACTGGTGACCCCACAAATGGTCCTCAGATGTGTCCACAGCCCTTCCATGGCAAAGGGCGTGAAGCTAAGGGTCTCAGAGGAGGTGGTCCTGGGTCAGGTGGCCCTGCGTCCAGTCACAGTGTCCTGAGAAGGGACAGAAGAGGAGACACAGACATGGAGGAGAAGCCACGTGGAGACGGAGGCAGAGACGGGAGGGACGCAGCCACCAGCCCAGGGACACCTGGAGTCCCAGGAGCTGGAAGAGTCGGGAAGACCCGTCCCTGCAGCCTGTGGAGGGAGCGCAGCCCTGGGACACCTGGACCAGGATGGAGACAGCATGAATCTTTACTGTTTTAACCTCCCAGTTTGGGGTCATTTGTCAGAGTAGCCCCCAAACCCTCAAACTGCAATGACACCCCACCCCACCCCCAACCCTGTACCCGTCCTGCGGGTCACATCTTCCTCCCTCAGCCACGAACAGCTCGCCGTCCTTTTCGGGGAAGACATTCCTCAGCCTAACCCGGAGTCCCCCCAGAGCCACTCCCACACGTGTGGGTTGTCACAAGGCAGCGGTGACAGTGGGGCCAGAACGGAACCCACACGCACACGCACCCGCAAATCCCCAAGACACGTGGGCGCCCCCTTTCAAATCATTGAATCCCATCCCCCAGGAGACAAGCCAGGGGTCTGCGGGGGGCGATGCCTTCTGTGGAGGCCTAGCTCCCACGGGACAATCCCTTCAGTTTTTCACAGGGAAGAAAAAAAAAACAACAGGAAAAAGAAACATTTGCAGACATTTTCCAGGCCTGCTGAGGGGCCTCTGGTTATTTTGGAAAAACACATCGTACCAGTGTCTACATGTTGTTGACATGCCTGCTCACTGTACTTCCCCATTTTTCCCCAAATAAGCACCATCTCACCCCGGCTGGTGTAGCTCAGTGGATTGAGCGCAGGCTGCGAACCAAAGGGTCACTGGTTTGATTCCCAGTCAGGGCACATGCCTGGGTTGCTGGCCAGTTCCCAGCAGGGGACACATGAGAGGCAACCACACACTGATGTTTCTCTCCCACTCTTTCTCCTTCCCTTCCCCTCTTTCTAAAAATAAATAAATAAAATCTTTTTTTTTTTAAAAAGAACGATCCCCTCCGATGAAGACTTAAAGACTATACACACGGAGGCTCTTTATACCTGCCAACAAATACTGATAATGTGAGGTGTGCGGGGCTTCCCAGGTGGAGAGACAGACCTTCACCTGGTCTGGAGTCAGAACCAGTTTTCTCACGTGCAGAATGGAGTCACGCACCCCGGTCGAGATCTAAACCCGCCCCCTCATCTCCTGCCCTCATTCTCCTGGATAGTTAACTTTTATTGATGAGGGAGCCAGCGACTTCCTCTTCTGCTGTTTACCCAGCCTGCACTTCTCGTGTGCGGTCCTCTCTCTCCCTCACCGTGGCTGGTGCGATTAAAAGAAAAAAAAGCAATTCTGCAAAAGGGGGGATTTTCAGTGTTCCTGAGCAAGCCGCCCGGATTTCACATCTGGGTGGTCTGCCCCCGCCCAGGCTGGAAATGCGAGACAACAGCGGAAGGGAATGGAGTTTTGATTTCTGCATAGCGTGCGTGGACGCCGTGGCTTCTGCAAGCCCTCGGAGGAGAGGGGTCATAAATGGGGCCCGTTTCACACAACAAGGGCTGTTGGCCATCTCGAACTCCCCCCCGCCTTGGCTCGTAGGGTCTGGGCGGCCCCAGACGGTCTGGATTCCTTCAGGCGTGAAGCGGGAACTCTGAGGGGTTCTCACCTGCGTGGACGGCCGTCCCCGGGCTGTTGGGGAGCAGGTGTTCAATATCTGAGTTCCCCAAAGCTGGGGAGAATTTCTACCTGCATTTTTTAAAAAAGATTTTATTGATTTTTTTTTTTTTTTTAGACAGAAGGGAAGGAGAAAGAGAGGGAGAGAAACATCAGTCTGTGGTTGCCTCTGGTGCGCCCCCTACTGGGGACCTGGCTCACAACCCAGGCATGTGCCCTGCCTGGGAATCGAACTGGCGACCCTTTGATTCATAGGCCAGAGCTCAATCCACTAAGCCGCGCCAGCCAGGGCTCTACCTGGATTTTTCATGTTCTTTGCTACACAGAGCCGACTTCTGCCCTCTTGTTCGAGCAATCTTCATCTATGCCAAGCCGATAAATACTTTCCTCTTCTCCCTCCTACCCCCCCCCAAATTATAATAATTGTCTATTTAGGAGGCAGCATTTACTCCATCTAGATATTTTCGTATGCAAACAGTGGGTTGGGCATTGTATCGCTCAGCTGTGCTGCGTAACAAATGAGCCCAAATGTACAGATGCCAACGAGATACATTGTGCATCTTCCATTTTCGGGGTGCACGGTCCCCCATGGCGGAACCCCTTGCTCAGCTCAGAGTCTGCTTGCCTGTGGCCGAAATCAGGTGTCCTCGGGCCTGCGTGTCTCTCTGGAAGGTGACAGGCACGAATATGTGTGGAAAGGCATGGACGCTGCTGGCAGAAGAGAGATTCTTGTCATGCCTGGCATCTCTCTGTCATCTTCTTGTGCTTTTAGGGGGCTGGCAAAAATACAGAGAGGCCGTCTTATCTGAAATGCAGTCAACGACAAACCTTAATTATTCCCGCCAAGCCTGCTCTTCTGAAACGGGGCAGCACATCCGTGCTCATGGGACCAGGACAAGAAGGCCCCGGGGGGCGCACTCAGGGCCGTCCCCGAGATGTCACGGCGTGGAACACTTTTTTCGCAGACCGCCGGCTGGCGGTCAGCAAGGCCGTATCCAGTGTCCGCCTGCCACGAGGCTGTGCCGTCTGGGCCCCGAACAGTGTGCCCGTCAGCACAGGGACGGGATTCTGTCTGGCTGGTACGTGTTTCTACTCTTGCCCATCATTAAAATCACGTCCGCTTCGTGTAGTGGGATTTGCTGTGAAAAAGCACCGCACTCTGTTTTCTTCTCACACCGTGTGTTGGGTGCCTGGGCAGGTGCGTGAGTTGGTTGGGGTCTTGTCTCGTGCACCATGTGTTCGTGGGTTCGATCCCCGGCCGGGGCCCAGGCACGAGGCAACTGAATGATGTCTCTGTGTGTGTGTGTGTCTCTGTCTCTCTGCCTCCCCTTATCTGTCTGTCTGTCTGTCTGGCCCTTCCTCTCTCTACAAAAGCAATGAAAAAATGCCCTTGGGGGGCCATGACACTGGTGAACTGTCTGGACAGCACCCTAGAATCTCGTGTCCGGGGCACCCACACCTCTGCCCACCTTCTCTGCTCCCAAGTGTGGCTTTGGAGGACCCGCAGTGAGCTTCGGCCTCGGGGGGGGGGGGACAGTGGCCTCCACATCTGAGGTCCTGCCCCGAGGGCTGTGCAAAACCAAACACCGATTCAGAACAGCAGGCAGGACGGAAGCAAAGGCCTGTGACCCCGCAGCGGCTTTCTTCCGGGTATTGATCTTCCGGGTATTGATCTTCCGGGTATTGATTGACGTGACGTTGCTGGGTGAGAAACAAGACTCGGAAAGACCCTCGGACCCGCTCCGTTCCTGCCCCAGGGACTCACGCAGAGGCACCTGGTTCAGAGTGAGAGCCTCGGGGTAGAGCTTTCATGGTCTCCGGTGTCCGAGTCTGTTCGTTTGATTATTAGCTCAGCTGAGAAGAATTTAGAAGACGGGGCCTGGCCGGGTAGCTCGGTGGGTTAGAGCATCGTCTCCATATGTCAAGGCTGTGGGTTCGATCCCCGGTCGGGGCACATCCAAGAGTCAACCAATCAATGCATCAGTAGGTGGAACCACAAATTGATGTCTCTGTCTCTCTCTCTTTCTTTCCCTCTCTAAAATGAATTTAAAAAAACAACAACTTTAGAAAAGTATTAATAGCCCTGGCTGGTGTGGCTCAGTGGACTGAGTGCTGACCTGCAAATCAAAAGGTCACTGGTTCGATTCCCAGTCAGGGCACATGCCTGGGTTGCCGGCCAGGTGTCCAGTAGGGGGCGCACAAGAGATAAACACACATTGATGTTTCTCTCCATCTCTTTCTCCCTTCCCCCCGGTCTCTAAACATAACTTTTAAAATGTTTTTACAAAGTATGCGTATATATATTTTTAGCTCCCCCACAAAAGCGTGTATGCACACACACACAGAATTGGGCGATGAGCACAGACAGGGAACCATTGTGCCCCACTCGTTGGAGCCTCTGTGTGTGGGGTGCTGTGTGTGGTGTCAGCCCGAGACAGACAGACAGGAAGAGAA